GGGAGAAAGAGAGAAAAAACATTGATTGGTTGCCTCCTGTATGCGCCTGGACCGGGAGGATCAAATCTAAAACCTAAGTATGTGCCCTGACCAGGAATCAAGCCCCAACCTTTTGGTGTATGGGACGATGGTCTAACCTACTGAGCCACCCAGCCAAGGTTATAGCTATAAATTATTTTGTATTGCCCTGACCGGTTTGGCTCAGTGGATAGAGCGTTGACCTGAGGACTGAGAGGTCCCGGGTTCGATTCCGGTCAAGAGCATGTACCTTGGTTACAGGCACATCCCCAGTAGGAGGTGTGCAGGAGGCAGCTGATCGATATTTCTCTCTCATCGATGTTTCTAGCTCTCTATCCCTCTCCCTTCCTCTCTGTAAAAAATCAATAAAATATATTTTTAAAAATTATTTTGTATTGATATCAAGTAGCTACAATTTACAGAGTTGTAAAATGGCTCAAAGACACTGAAAGACAGTAATTGGAATGCCTGAGGGGTGTCCTCTAGACAACACATCCTTTTCCCATGAACTTTTCCCCTACAAGACCAACCTATTCTATTTCATTCTTTTTCCCTCTCCAGACCAGGTCACTGGTGATTCGGGTATGTACTCCTCAGTGAACACTGGGTAAGTTAAGTAACCCTGAGCAAATATTAAAGACAAAAAGTAATGACTGTAGAAAAAAATAAAAATATAGCTCTATTTACAATGTTTAAATAAAATTGAAGACAATGACCGAAGCGATGTGTTTCCTGTCCATTTTCTACCCCATGCCTCCACCTTATTACCACCAGCCTACTGTCACTTCCAACTCTTGTTGCAGGGCCTTTAGGAAGCAACGTCACTGCTGACTTATGGGAATCTCTAATTTACAACAGGCAAACCGACCCAGATGAAGAATTACAGGAACAAAGGAAGTAGGTCAGGTCCATGCTCTTAAATGGGGAAACCACAATGAGGAATTCACATCATAAATAGAGTAATATTAAGTGATTTTTAGAGGGTTGGAAGGGGGTGAGGGACTGAACTAGATGAAGACTAGGGAAGGAGTAGCCATTCATTCAATCAGTCATTCAAACGGACACTTTTAGTGCTAGTCACCTGGGGTAGGTGCTGTGGTTAGCAACCAGAGATAAATGGGTAAGTAAAACAGGACCCCTGTCTTGTAGTTATTTAGAATTTAGGTAGGAGTGTTCCTTGATTCAACCAGATGAAAAATATCATGAAATTTCTTCTGCTCAAACTGAGACAGGTCTGGAGGTGAGATTTTAGAAGTTATATGATAAGGTGGCCCTTTAAGGTGTGTGTGTGTGTGTGTGTGTGTGTGTGTGTGTGTGTGTGTTGGGGGGTCTTCCCTTGCTGGTCCTGTTCCCCGTGACACACACAATGGGTATAACACTGCAGATTATTTGAACACTACCTAATTAGTAAGTAATTACAACAAACGATTAATAAATTATTTTATCATTTTAAACTACATAGTATTTATTTTTATAAATAAAGGTATTGGTTTATTGCCAGAATAAATAAATAATTGGTTAAAATAGGTAGTTAACTATTAATAAGTTCTGTAATGAATAAAGAATCATTAGCAAATTCCCCGCCACAGTTCAAGAACTGCGGCGAGATGCATTCGCTGGTTCTTTCCATCCTTGAAGCTCTGGATGCTGGTGGGTCTCCACTGGTGGGTCTCAAACTCTCTCACTTTCTCAGTGTCAAAAAGTACTGCCCGGCGAATTGAGCCTTCTGTGGGTTTACAACATTTGGGAAGGTGCATCGTTTTGCCTTGCCTCCTTCCTGTCTAGAGGAAAGATTGCAAGGAAGCTGGGTGAACGCCTGGAAAACAGCCCTGCTCTTCGGGCCCCTGAGCCCTGGCACCCGCACTGTCCACGAACCGGTCACCCTGGATTTGTAGTGAAAGCTGACGCCCTGCCCATGGTGGCTGAGAACTTAAACTAGTGCAAGACAAGTCTTGACTAACAGACAATAGATCAAGTAGCGAGTTATTAAGGGAAATCAGGGAAGTTCCGAGGGCACCTCTGGCATTTAAGGACAGTGTCTTCGAATGCGAACACTGGACTCTCCCTCACTTTCCCTCAGTGTTGTGGCTGGAATCCTGGGCCAGTGGCCTTTTGTCTGACCTGTGATGACATTTCTGATCTTCTTAAGAATATTGTACCAGAAAAGGTCATGCTGAGCACCCAAAAGAACAGATGCGCTGCTCGGGGCAGAGTCTGCCTTGAACACAGCCCCGGATTTCGGACACAAGCTCTTCCAGCATGCCATGCCACACGCACCGGCACCAGCTGATGGTGATGGTGTCCATGGTGACAAAGTAACCACATGAATCTTCTTTGTCCCAAATGGTTGGGCAGGGAGGGGGGAGGGGGAGAGGGGGAGACAATTCCATCAAGGTGGTCAATTTCCAAGTGGGTGATCCAGGAATGTTTCCATGACCCTAAGCATAGAGCAGTTTCCAGAGATTCTGGCCTTGGCTACCTCCACTCTCACTGGGGAGGGGCTTTCAATAACATACTCTCTTGGGGGCTCCGCATAACTTCCCCAGGAGCAGGGATGGTTTCGGTTCTGAGCTCAAAAATTCCCATCACCTTTTTCCTTTCTTCTCTTTCCCTTCTTCCTTCCCTTCATTCTCTCTCCTTTCTCCTCTCCATTCTTCTTTCCTTCTGCTCCCTGGCCTTCTATTATGAGCCTTCTTGCTGTGTCGTGGATGACTCTGCCAGATCCTCGGGGGTGCTGGGGGGTGGGGGGTGCAGGGGGGGACATGTCAGTGAGATTCTCGGCTGCCCCTTTTCTTCTAGCTCCTGCCAGTAGAGCCCTCAGCCCTGGTAAGTCCACGGGACTGTGGGAACCCGAGCATTGATGGGAAAGAAGAGAGGGGCTTTTGGGCCTCTCACTTTCCTGTTCATTAGAGTCATCATTCTCAGCCAAGGTTTGGGGTGAAAACTGGGGCCTGATTCAGTGATGGAAATCCCAGACTTCAAGGCTGGGCTGGTGCAAGGCAAGGGCGGGATTGCGGACAGGAAGTGGTGTGGCTGCGTGGGTGTGAAGGAAGGGCTTCCTCCCTCGCTGACACTTTCTCAGCCTCCCGCCCCTCCCCCAACCCAACAAACAGCCAGCGCAGACGCCTTGCACGGGCCTGGCACACAGCAGCAGTGTGGGTAGAACCAAGCAAATCCAATCCCACCAACTTGTCTACTCCCCTTGTCTACTCCTGGAATAATCGAATAGTTCTCAGATTTATACAGATTTTCCGCTTTGCCAGAATAGGAGCTGGGGAGCTGAAACAGCCCTAATGTTAATGGGAGCTTGATAAGAATAGTCTTCACAGCCACGCTCAGTGAACATTTGGTTTTCAGAACTCTCGTCGCATCTCGTTGTCTTGGAGGGGACTCGGCCCCAGCCCCACGACTCACACCCTGGGCTACCCTAGTTTTGGTTCCCTGACTCCAAATGTACTGTTTTGACATCAAAAATGAAGGTCTAACTGCCCCTACATGTGAGCTCAACCTCAATGAATGCACAACTTAGGGAGGCAACCCCCAGTGTTCAGCAACTAATTTGAATAAAGTTCTTGATAGCAGACCAGGCCATTGGCACACTGGAGCAACGTGGCTGAACCTGGGGGGTGGGGGCATTAAGAACTTGGAGGAATCACATATGATGTGGAGAGTTAGAAAGCAGCCCTGCTCTCTGGGCACCTGGGCACTGGCACCTGCACTGTCCATCAACCTGACCAGGCGAGTGATGGAGCCCTTTATAAAACATGTGAAAACAGACCGAGAAGCAAGTTTGAAGGAAAGACGATGGGGTCATGGGTACAGCTTGGAACGTGCTGAGCGGATGTGCTTGTGAGACTCATGACGGGAAGCTGCACATACAGGTGGCCTGCAGGACAGAGCTGGGTTCTGGGCACGGAAGGGGAGGTTTCAGTCTAGGAAGAGATGGGGACTGAGGCCCCAAGAAGAGGAGCCCCTTTATTCTGAGAAGCAGGTAGAGAGAGAGGAAGAAACGCAGAACCCAGTGTCGTAGGCTGTTGGGAAGTTAGGGAGCTTGCTGGGACCTCGAAGTGGGCAGTTTCAGTGAGGTGGCAGGGACAACGGCTGCACCTTCTATGGCAGAGACTACTAGTAAGTCATGAAATCCAGTTCCTCCACCCTGAGCATGAAGCTAAATTTCATTTCCTGACCTTCCCTGTAGCCGGGTGAGGCTGTGGGATTGAGGTCTGGCCCACGGAGTGTGAGCAGAAAATGATCCACTATCACCTCTGAGAACTAGCCTCTCCCTACCCGCCTCCATGGACCCCTCCTCCCAAGTCTCCCAGGGAGAGTAGGGGATCCAGGGGGGCTGGAATGCCTTGGGGGTACAGAGCAACTAAATGGAAGGAGATTGGTCCCTGAGTTATTATGTGGAGCCACGGGGTTCGGGCCAGTGAGGCCAGCAGGTGCAGACACGCAGGGGTTAGCAGTGGAGTGGGTGAGCAGCCAGCTGGACAGCAGTGGCAGTAGGGATCAGAGCAGATCAGCGGTCAGGAAAGCTAAACGGGTCTAGCTGTGACCCAGCTGGGGTGACAGGGAAGTCCCTTTGGCCTTTGCTCTGCAGCCCCCCAAAGTTGCCTTCCCATCCAGCTTGGATGAGGCTGCAGGGGAGATGACCAGGAGGGAGAAGCAAGGCCCATGAGGAGACAGTGGACACCCCTTCAGGAAGAGAAAATATATTATGTCTCTAAATTCCAAGAACTTGCCCAGCCAGTGTGGCTCAGTGGTCGAGCTTCAACCCATACACCAAGAGGTTGCTGGTTGGATTTCCCATCAGGCACATGCTTGGGTTGCGGGCTGGTTCCCCAGTAGAGGGTGTGCAGGAGGCAGCCAATCGATACTTCTCTCGCTGATGTTTCTATCTCTTACCCTCTTCCTTCCCCCTCTCTAAAATTAACAACAACAACAAAAATTAAAAATAAGTAAATTCCAAGAACTTGCCAAAAAAGAGAAACAATAACTGTCTTTATTACCCAATTCTAGAGAAAATGATTCTGCACAACGGCAGAACCTCGTAGCTGCCATAGTGGAAGTGACGTGAGTCATGAGGGTGGTCTCCCAACCTGGGTGACCTGGATTCGCTCAAGGTTCTGAGTCAGGTGCCTGTGGGTATGGCCCGGAGCTCCAAGGAGGAGGCCTGGGAAGGTGCCTCCCCATCTCACATGGATGTGCCTGTGGTGGGGGGATGACCAAGATCCATGAGCCACAAAACACCCCGAGGAGCTAGAAGACGGCCTCTCCGGGAAGAGGAACCGGTGGAGGAGGCCCAGCCACAGGTCCCCTGGATGCGGAGGGAACCCCGCTCACAGGTATGAAAAGGACCAGGCTCCTTGCTGGGCTTCACCGGGGCAGGCAGCCGGCCACCGGGTCCGGCCGCAGCACGGGCACGAAGTTCATGGGGCACAGCAGCAGCGGGCACATCTTCTCGTGCTCCTTCAGCGCCTCGCTCAGGTGCTTCAGCTCCTCCGTCAGCTTCCCGATCTCCCGCCGCAGCACTGCGTTTTCTTGCTCCAGGCACTCATATTCCTGGGGAAGAGGGAGTGAGCAACTTCATTTCTTCCCCGTCCTCCTGGCAGATCTAACCCGTGCTGTGATGCTCATCTCCTTTCCACAAAAACATTCTCGTTAACCTGTCCCCCCTCTGCCACTCATAACTGTTGGTGCATTTGCTTACTCTGTCTCCTCCCGCCAGGAGGAAAGGGTCAGGAGGGCAGGCCTTTGTCCAAAACACTCCATGAGGTGTAGTTTACAGGAAATAAAATACACCTACCTTACGTGTATAATTCAGTAGGTTTTGACAAATGTAAATAACTATGTGGATCAATTCAGAATGCTTCCACCACTCCGGAAAGTTCCCTAGTGCCCCTGTGAGCCTCCCCTTCCCCCAACTGCTGATCTGTTTTCTAAAGGTCTCTGCTGGGTTTGCTGCTGTAGCCCCGGCACCTGGATCAGTGCCTCGAACATAACACATGTTTGTTGAGTACTGAGTAAATGGACGAAAAGACCCCTTGCTTTGGCTTTGCTCCAATACTCATGCGTTAATTTTCCTCTACAGCAGAGTTTACAGGGGCTTAGAACTGGAGGGGATCATAGAGACCCCTTAGCAGCTAAGGTCTCTTAAATACGGTCTCTCTCAAACCCACACGATGTAGAAACCTCCCCTGTGTAACTCTAGCTCAGACGCCCAACTTGTGCTGAGCGTTCTCTCTTTCAAAGGACAGGCCTTGCCATCTCTCTGAGCTGCTCTATGAGGAAGCTCCTCGTTGCACGGATCCAAAAACTCTCTCTCCTTCAAACCCACCTATTGGGCTTGGTTCCACCTTATGGAACCACATAGAGTAAATGCAATACTTTTTCAACATCGCAGTTCTTGAAATGTTAGGAGGCAGCCCCATACCACTTCCCTTTAGGTATTCTCTGAGCTCAACGGTCTCAGGTCCTTTGGGCTCCTTGGGTTGTGGGAATCCTGGTCCCTGTGCCCTCTTGGACGCCATCCAACACATGCTCCAATTTGCCAGGGGCTCTGAGAGAATATCATTCCCACCATGCAGTGCAGGATTCCAGGAATGGCCAGACCATGCAGAGGGCAGATTGTGCAGGTGATCTGCACTGGGCTAGACCCAAACCACAGCCACCCTGCTCCGGGGACTCCCCCCTGAGCATGCAGAGAAGTGCAAGCTTTGTCTGTATCTGCTGCTTCTTTGTCTATACTTTAAGGACGATTGATCTTTTGGAGCTTGAGGATGGGCCTTACACCCACCTCTACTGCATATTCACCCTGTTCCCTTGAGCGTCTTCCAGCCTAGCAAATCCTTCAGAATCTTGATTGTGTCGGCCCCTGGATTAGTGAGACCACAAGCTTTAAGCTGTCCACGAGCTTGGTAAGCAGGTCTTCCTTTCTTTCCTCCAAGTCATGAATAAGTTCTGTAGTAGTTGGCCAATGACAGAGGCCCTCTTAAGGCTGACAACCTTAGTTAAGTCTTGCTGAAATGTTGTTTACAGTCATTTCTAGGTTGGTTCACACTATTGGGCTTTGTTGTGCCAGGCATACCATGTTTCCTGAGCAGGGGGTTCAACCTTATTATCTATCACACCTTTTCTTTTACTAGTCATTTTTAAGAAATATCACTAAAAAAAAAAGAAATCTGATCTTGCAGGCTCTTAAGGCACATGCAAATTCTCAACTCTGCCCCTGGACTGCCTTCCTCTTTTTCTCTGTGGGGCCAGCTCAAGCCCACCACCTCCAGGAAGGCTTCCATGATCATAGCACCTAATGGAAACATCTCTTATTATGTGTGTCTTATTCAGTCTTGTATCATATTCAATCTTAAATAAGGTCTCTCTCCAAAGGTCAGAAATGTATATAGCACATGGGGCCTCTGTTACCATTTCCTGTACCCCACCTGACAGGCCCCAGTGCTCAGGGTCCCCTCAGCCCTCTGTCTCCTCTCACCCCCTTTCTTCCCTCCCTCCCCTATAGGCATCTTCCTCCCTCTAAGAACAAGGGACCCAGAGGGGCTGATCTGCTCTGACCCCTACTGCCACTGCTGTCCTCTGCCTCCTGCCTTTCTTTCCTAGGAAGGCTCTCAGGATGGTCTGGGATACTCGGCAAGGCAGCAAGCAGGCCTAACCCCTTCTCCCCACAGGTTGTCCTGGCTCAGTCTGGCATCACTAGGACATTGGCCCTGTTCTGCCTTCAGCCCTCCTCCAACTCCTCATGCTCTCCTCTGACTTCTGACAAGCTGCAGTCCTAGAGTCAGAATTCAGTCTACAAACACAGCAACCAAGCCCTCCATGAGCAAGGGGAGGGTCTGGATGGGAGGATGGGGGTGGGAGCCTACGCATCCGGGAGGCCTGCCGGCAGCAGAGGGGTGAGAGGCGCACACACACACACACACCTGGAAATGCTCCCCACTTCCAAGTAAAAAGAGAATAGAAAGGAATGGTTTCAATGAGCTAACGTTTCAACAGGATTCCAAAGAATAGGGAACTCTCCTCTTGTGGCAAATATTCCAAACTGACTTTCCATATTTGCTGCATTTTGTGGCGAGACGCTGTGAGCTTCTGAGCTTTGTCTCTGGAAGCCACACGGAGTCGTGCTGCTTAAGGTACCACTGCTCTCCACCAAACCCCAGCGGGGAAGGGCTCAGAGCTGCCCGCACAGGCACCCAGCAGGCCCCTTGCCTGCCTTCTCCAAGGGGACTTTCTCCTCTGAGATTTAAGTTTTACACAAATATGCTGAGGGACTTTTATCGAGCCGTGTGAATAAAAAAGAGAGAAGAAGTAAAAATCTCCTTCAGGTGAGACCAGTTCTACAAAAAATAAAAGGGGAGGAAGCAGAGGGGAGAGAACACGGAGAGGGAACACGGGGGAAAGAGTAAGACCCCCTTCGCCCCGAGAAGAAATTCCCTGGACTTCGCAGACATGAAAAATAATCAAGAACATGAGACCCTTTGCTATTTCCAAAGAGATGCTCGGTTTAGCTCAACGACTGGTGTTGGAGGTGAATGAGTAAGTCCTTTGCCTCAGGAGGGTTTGAGGATACTGGGCTGCCTTCCTGGGTATCTGCCAGGACGTGGTCACCAGGAAGAGAGACCTACAAATTAGAGGTGGTGAGGTCACTGCAAATCCCAGTTCTGCTCAGAAATTAAGCTGTCGAGGGCAGGGACTCTCAAGTGGGGCAATGTGTCAGTCCCCAGGGGACGCCTCGCGTGTCTGCAGACAGTTTGGGGGAGGGGTGCTACTGCATCTAGAGGGCGGAGGCCAGGGATGCTGCTTCAGGTTCTACAGTGCACAGGACAGCCCTACCCCCCCACAACAAGGAATTATCTGGCCCCGAGGTTGAGCAAGCCTTGCCTGGGCATCTAAGAGAGGTTGACTGGGGGCTGTGGGGCTGTCTGGCGATATTCAAGGTCCAGGAGGCCTCTGAGGCAGAGGGAAGGATCAGGACTGATAAAAAAGACAAGGTGGGTACCAGGGACCAGAACTGATAACTAAGGCAGGAAAGGACAGGACGGGGAGGAAATGGCCATCAGGACACAGCCACACACGGACCCCATTTCACAAGCAAGAAACAAACTCGGAGAGGCCTGGTGACTTTCCCAAGGTCATGTAGACTGGAGCCTGATCCCCGATTTCAAGGTCAACGGCAATGCTCATGCAATGACAGCGATTCAGCCTTCCCTCGGCAGTGCCTGGACTCAAATGTCCTCATGGCCATTACCAGCAGAAAAGGGCGGTACGCACTCAGGATTTTACAAGAAGTCTATTCCCAAACCTAACACAGATCCCCTTCCCGGCAGAAACATGTGTCACCAGCCAGGGCAGTAAAATTTGGTGTCATCATCCGTTTCTAAACCAAGTGGGGGACTAACATGAAGCATTCTCTTAGAAAACGCAGTATCTGGAACAACCAGGGCAACACATACCACAACCGTATTACTCAAGACACGTGTCCGTTTGTGACATTTGGGGCTCCCAAGGATGGCATCGCGGCCTTCCTTTTCTGACTCAAAATTCTTTCTCAGACTTACGCCTTTCGGTGCCTGGCTCCAACCAGTCTGACCCACTTCTGAAAGGAGCGTCTTTCAGCCTCTGCCTTGGGGCACTGGACTGTTCGCTGGGGTTCCTATTTGTGAATGTGGACTCAGGCGTGTGCCTACCGTCCAGAGATGAATGGGGCTCGAAATCCCCATGAGAGGTGTCAGCGCCTTGAAGGGGTGCTTTAAAAAGCCACAGAGAGCACTGAGGTCCACAGATACACATTGGGAACTGCTGTCACCACTGCAGTCCAACTTCCAGCAACTGCCACCCTGAGGGGAGAACTCTCCCCTGGCTTAGCCTGTCCCCACTCTCCCACTGGCCTGCCCTCCAAGAGGGGGAGGTGGGCGGGGGGGGGCGCCTGGAAGGACAGTCCTCTGGCTTTGGCGATGGAGAACGGGGAGGGGAGGGAGGTGGCCGAGAGACTTAGATGAGCTGGGACTGGAGGAGGTGAGTGAGAGAGGTGGGCAGAGGAGAAAGGTGGGAATTTTAAACGTCTTGCTTTAAATATTCCCCTTCTGGGTATTCAAGAAAGGCAAATAAAGATCTTGAGTGACTCAGATGTTTAGCAGCGCTACCCAGAGCCTGGGATAGAGGCGTATGGGACAGGGACTTTACTCAAATCTCCGTAGGGAGTAGCGGGCAGCCACGGCTGTCAGGTGGCTGTTTCCTGCCCGGGGTGCCTCCCAGTGAGCGGGCCCCTCCACACACTGCGTCCCCTCTCACTTTCCCATCCTACCTGTGGCCTGGGAGCCCCAGGGGGCCTGAGGGGCTTTTTGCCATGGCTGACAGCAGTATGCTAGGTGCCTCGCCCTCAACTCACCACATTTTTTTTATCAGATGCCCTACCCGCCCCCCAATAGGAAGATTTTTTTCAATGTTTAAAATATAGTCGATTTTTACTATATTTACTTTTTTTTTTCCCACTACGTTGGCCATACAGAAAGAACATAGATCCCCAAAACTATGATGTGCTCCCTGGAAGGAGGCAAGGAATGAAGGAGGAGGGATTATTCATGTGGCCCAGAGACACCGCTCCTCCTCTTCTACTGAAGGATTGGATATTTCCATTTTCCTGAGCCCGCCACCGGCTCCCTCACAGCCTCTTGTGACCAGTGACGTGGGTGTGGTTAGTGGCAACTGAAGGCCTCCAGCTTTGGGGTCTGTATACGGATGGAGCCGCTGTCCTGGCCTCCTGGACGCTGTGTTTCTCAACCAAACTGGCCTCACTGAGGGGATCTGCCAGGCGCACAGTCCTCATGCATTCTTCTAGCTCCACAGAGGAAGGGGAGAAGGGAGTGTCCTTCCATGGAGGGCCTGGCTTTCAGATCGACCAGCCCTATTTCTGGAAAGGACACCTGGCAGAATCAGTCCTGTCTGTGGACAGCGGAACAGGCTAGGAACCCCGCAGACGGGCCCTCCACCTATGGTTCTAAGACAACCGTGGGCAAACTACGGCCCGCGGGCCGGATCCAGCCCATTTGAAATGAGTAAAACTAAAAAAAAAAAAAAAAGTACCCTTTTATGTAATGATGTTTACTTTGAATTTATATTAGTTCACACAAACACTCCATCCATGCTTTTGTTCCGGCCCTCCGGTCCAGTTTAAGAACCCATTGTGGCCCTCGAGTCACAAAGTTTGCCCACCCCTGTAGAGGGAGCAGGTGGGAGTACGTGCGGCACCACCACTACTGGTAAGTTTCCCAGGCACCTGGTTCATTTGGTCATTGAATCAAACAGTGACAGAAACGGAAAGACCTGTCTTAACTCTGTAGTAAATTCGTGCTGCTGCTTTCTGTGATAGAATAACAGCCCCCAAAGATGTTTACATACACTCTTGAGAACCTGTGATTATGTTACTTTAAGTGGCAACAGGAACTTTGCAGATGTGATTAAGTCAAGAACCTTAAAATGGGGAGATTAACCCGGATTATGCAGACGGACCCAATTAATCACAAGAGTCTTTTTTCAGTGAAAGGAGGAGTCAGGAATCAGAAAAGGATATGCGCCTACAGAAGAAGTGTCAGCGCAATGCAGCAGAAGAGAGACTCGACTGACCAGCTGGCTTTGAAAATGGAAAGAGACCACAAGCCAAGGGACACAGAAGCTTCTAGAAGCTGGAAAAGGCAAGGAAACGGATTCTTATCCAGAGTCTCCAGAAGGAACGCTCTTCTTTTTAGCCCCGTGAGATCCATTTCAGACACCTGGCCCCCAAAACTGTAAGATAATAAATCTGTGTTGTTTTCAGCCACCACATTTGTTATACTTTGTTACAGCAGCCACAGGAAGCTAATACACATTCCCCGGAAATTCCTGTGCTTCCCATGGACAGGAACAAGACCTCACTCCTTCCTTTGTGGCCCAGATGACAATGCCTTGCCCACGCAGTGCTTCATAAATATTCATAAATATTTGTGAGGTGAATCTACTTGACCTTTCTCTGTGAAAGATCTTGTTCAAGTCGTTCACTCGCCTCTATACACATAATCACTCGGGACTTAAAACTGAGTGTCCTCTTGTTTTTTATATTAATGTACCTGCCTTGGACTAGAAGCTTCTTGAGGGGAAAGACCCGAGCTGTCCACCTGGCACGTGTTCTAACACAGGGCCCTGCACTGTGAGCCCCAGGTGCCCTCCAGGGGTTACTCGGTGACATGAAGCCAGAAGCAGGACAGCTTCAGGAGGAAGCGGGGAGGGAGAAAAGAGGCAGAGGGCACTGCAGTTCTTCTGAGGAAAGGTTATGGAACTAATAAAAGCTGGGAAGGACCTTCCCTGACCCCAGTCGGAAGAGCCCAGGGCCCAGCCTTCCCACTGCCACGCTGTGAAGCTATATCAGTGGGTCTCCTCTCCCTGGAGTACGTACATCCTAACTCGGTTCTCTGTTCACTGTTAAAGGGTTTTCAGAGATTATCATTCCCCCTCAAAACACCCCGGTCTCCTCTGCCGTCGGTGCCCCCAGACTGGATTGCTGAGACAATCGATGGGCAAGAAAGCTTGGCAGGAGAGAGTTCAACTAAAATCGTAGTGGTTCACACCAACGCTGTGCAAAGACGAGAGCTTGGAATTGGCCCCCACTCCTTGGAAAGACCCTCGGATGCCTTTGAGGCCAGTTCCTGATAGAGAGCAGTACCCATGTCCTAGCCGTGAGATGATGTGGGGTTATGCGCAGGGGTCGAGGAAAATGGAAGAGTTTAGGATAAATCCCAGGTTCCAGATTGGGGTGATGGGAAAGATGGTTAGCTCCATTAAGTACAAATGGAAGGCAGTGAGAATGGACTGTCTCGGGATCAGCAGGCCCTCTATTATGACCATGCTGCGTGTGAGGAGCCTGCAGCAGTCCCATTGGGAAACTTTGAGATGTGGTTATGGCTAGAACAGAGGTCTTTCCCAGAGTGATTGATGATGGGAAAGCAGATTTATAGATTAAATTTTCCAGGGTGAGAAGAAACAAGGACAGAGTCTGATCAACAGCATTTAAGAAAACAGACAGTAAAAAAGAAGGAACTCTTACCATTTGCAATAGCATGGATGGAACTGGAGAGCATTATGCTAAGTGAAATAAGCCAGTCAATGAAGGAAAAATACCACATGATCTCACTCATTCATGGATAATAGAGACCATTATAAACTTTTGAACTATAGATACAGAGGCAGAGCTGCCTCAAACAGATTGTCAAACTGCAGCGGGAAGGCCGGAGAGGGTTGGGGGGCAGGAGGGAGGCGGGTAAGAGATCAACCGAAGGACTTGTATGCATGCATATAAGCATAACCAACGGACATAAGACACTGGGGGGTAAGGGAGGCCAGGAGACTGTCAAGGACGGGGGGGGCGGGTGGGGGGGAAAGGACACATATGTAATACCCTTTGTAATACTTTAAGCAATAAAAAAATAAATAAATAAATAAGAAAACAGACAGAGCTCTAACCAGTTTGGCTCAGTGGATAGAGCGTCAGCCTGCGGACTGAAAGGTGTCCCAGGTTCGATTCTGGCCAAGGGCATGTACCTTGGTTTCGGGCACATTCCCAGTAGGGAGTATGCAAGAAGCAGCTGATCGATGTTTCTCTCTCATCGATGTTTCTAACTCTCTATCCCTCTCCCTTCCTCTCTGTAAAAAAATCAATAAAATATATTTTAAAAAAAGAAAACAGACAGAGACGGAAAAATCTAACAAACAAACTGAGAGAAAAAGTGGTTAAGAGGGTCAGGAGAAGTAGGAGATGTGGTTTTTTTTGTTTGTTTGTTTTTTTAGAAGCTAAAGACCTTGAAAAAGGTTTTTTAAAAGGGGAGGATGAATGGTGTCAATAGTCCAGCAAGGCCAAGGGTGATAAGACTAGTGGTCTCAGCGGGAGCAGCTTCTATAGGAAGTGTGTGTGTGTGTGTGTGTGTGTGTGTGTGTGAGAGAGAGAGAGAGAGAGAGAGAGAGAGAGAGAGAGAGAGAGGATGAGAATGAGAATGAGAATGTTGGTTGGGGAGGGAGGCAGAAACAAAATCAGAGGACTGGGCAATAAATGGGAACTGAGGCCATGGAGCCAGCATGTCTCTCTTTAAGAAGCAGAAAAGTGAGGGAAGGAAAGAAAAGGGCACAAGTTTATAAGGTGTCAGCCTCAAAAGGGAATCTGTGGTCTTTTTTTATTTTATAATGAAAGAAACTTGGGTGTGAGATGCAGCCAGGGGATGAGGGAGAAATGAAGAGGCCAATGAGCAAAGAACCAGAGCACTGGGCTAGAAGCACAGAGCAGAATTAGACGTGCACGTGGCCAAATTGGTGATGACCAGAACGTGACATCTGGGCCACCCCCACATGCAAGCATCTTCATGGCCCTAGTGTGGCTCTGCTCCGACCACAGCCTCACCTCATGGAGTTTGTCAGCCTTCTGGGTCTGCTTCTTCCGACTTCTCTGAGCAGCAACGCGGTTTTTCTCTCTCCTTCGGACCTTCCTGTCATCATCCTCAGGGCTCTGGGGGAAGACGTGTGGTCAGGAGTGACGTGGAGGCCCCTCACCTCCCCGTCTGCCCTCTCTCCTCACTCCGCATGGCTCACTGCCTTCGCCGCCTCACCTGCAGCCACGGCAGTGCTTGTTGCTACATCAATAGGGCAGCAGTAGCCCCTTGCGAGGGAACACTCCCCAGGCGCTATGGCTGCGCGTAGCTGCTAATCCCCACGACCACCCTGAGAAATGTGTGGTGTGACCGCCATTTAAAGGATGAGGAATTGGAAACTCAGAGAGGTTAAGGAACTTGCTCCAGGTACCACAGCTAGTGAGTGGGTGAATGGGAAGTGGAACTCAGGTCTGTTGGACTCCACCAACGTTCACCAACCTCTACCCCGCAGGGCGTGTGCCGGGAAGAGCTGTGGTGTTGGTGGTGCTCATCTGAGAATGGAAAAGGCAGCAGGCATCCACAGTCTGGAACTTGCCGTGTGCCAGGCCTTACACCACCACACACAAACAGGGGCTTTTGATACTCCGGGCAGATCACGGTTACTCTTACAACTCACTGCGCCCACATACCTCTAGCAGCACGCCAAATGGTCTTAAACACCACTGACACCAGGCTCACGTGAACCATGCTCGACTGGCATTTGGTTTCACAGGTCAGAGCAAATCAGAAAGCAAATTGATGATGTGTCTCGGAAGCCCTTAGCTGTATCTGAGATTTAACCAAACCTCATCAAATCCTCCAAGAGTTAGCATGAAACAGGCAGGCAGAACAATGTGCCGACCATGTAAAAACACTTCATTCGGTTCCAGAAAACAAGAAGAGAGCAGCATTTGCTTTCAGAACCCTATTAGAGGATGCCAAGGATGGGGAATGCTATCTTTAAAGAGTTCAAAAGTCGCCTGAACCGGTTTGGCTCAGTGGACAGAGCAGTGGTTCTCAACCTTCGGGCCCTTTAAATACAGGTCCTCATGTTGTGACCCAACCATAAAATTATTTTCGTTGCTACTTCATAACTGTAATGTCGCTACTGTTATGAATCGTAATGTAAATATCTGATATGCAGGGTGGTCTTAGGCGACCCCTGTGAAAGGGTCGTTCGACCGCCAAAGGGGTCGCGACCCACGGGTTGAGAACCGCTGGGATAGAGTGTCAGCCTGCGGACTGAAGGGTCCCAGGTTCGATTCCGGTCAAGGGCATGTACCTTGGTTGCGGGCACATCCCCAATAGGGAGTGTGCAGGAGACAGCTGATCGATGTTTCTCTCTCATCGATGTTTCTAACTCTGTCCCTCTCCCCTCCTCTCTGTAAAAAATCAATAAAATATATAATTTTTAAAAAATGTCAAAAGTCAAGAGGTTAGTGGGATACATACCTAGGAAAGCAACTCAATCATCCATGTAATTGAAAGCAAACACTGATCACATACAGTAATGAATGTGATCAGTGATCATTGTATTTGGCCTTGTCTTCCAAAGAGAGACACATGCCATCTTCCCCAAGTAATGGGGATAAAGAACTTTTAGCATATGCAAGAATAAAGGAGAAGAATTAAAAAATATAACAAGTAGAAGAGGCCTGGGTTAGGGTTAGGGTTAAGGAAACAGATACAAGGTGTTAAAATGTAGTTCCTTTGAGGCAAAGAAGTCTTGGTACACAAAACCAGAACACCACGGGGGGAGGAGGGGGGGGTGGAATGTGGTGTAGAGGATAGAACTTTCGCTTTAAAATTGCACAGCTTCTGGGGGTTTTTCCCCCTCCTATTGTCAATATGGTCTTGGGGACCCTATTCTCTGAATGTTTGGGTTTCTCATTTATTGTAAGTGTGATTCATTCGGTTCTTTCAATAATGTTAACTGAGTACCTGCCATGTGCCAGGCATGGTCCCAGGCCCTGGAGACACATGCCCAGAACTGCAGCTTGAGGCCGGCATGAGATAAAACAAGATTTTATCTTACAGCTCCCAGCACACAGTATGCCCTCAACAACCTCTGCTGAGGTTGCTGCTACTTTGTATAGAGTCAGCAAGCCCCCTATTGTGCTTGTCACCAAATCACGACTCTTTGTTCTCCAGAATCCGAAAGTCATAGGGCGAAATGAAGCTGGCTGCAGCCTGCCCTCCGGAGCCCCATTCTAAACTGTATTATCAGCTACCCTACGGTCACACCTGACAACCCAGAAGACACATTTGTCAAGGCAGAAAGAGGGGAGCAGAGAGTAGAGAAATCCCTATATTAGTAACCATATCTCAATGCGTCCTCACAAAAAACCATTAGAAGTTGAAATTTTTATACGTACTCATATTACAGGTGGGGAAAACCGCAGACCCAAGAGGTTAATAAAACTGCCGATGGCAGTTCAGCCTGTGTGGCAAAGCCAGGATCAAACTCAGACCTGTGCGACTCTCCAGCATCATCCAATGACACTATTTGCCAACACCGAGGTGAGAAGGGGGGTGGGGGTGGGGGTGGGGGCGCATAACGATGGGAAAAGACTCAGTCCTACAGCAGCTGATGGAAAGCCTCGCACTGCCGTCCCCGCAGGCAGCCTGGTCTCAGGTTCCCGAGGACGCAGCTGTCAATGTCGCCGGGACAGCCCTGAGGGGGTTCCTCCAGTGCCGGGGGTGGAGCCGCCCGCCCTCTGCAGGCCCCCCGCCCCGCGCCCCGGGGCTGACCGGTCCGAGTTCCCCATTCTGGCGGCAGCCTGGCAGGGTAGGTGCTGGGAGCGCCTGGGCACGAGCTGCCCCTTCGGGCTGAAATCCCCCCTCCGCGTCCTGGCCCCACTCGGAGCTCCCGAAAGGGCCACGCGCGGCAGCCGAGTCGCACGGACCCCACGTGCGGGGGAACGTGGACCGTGCGCCTCCCGGGCAGGCGTCGGCGCCCTCGGGTCACCGCGCTGGACGCCGCGGGTCCTCGCGCGCGCCCCTGGACAACCCCGCACCCCACGCCCCCACCCAGAGCTCAGCCCCCCGGAGCCCCCGCACCTCCCCGCGCCCGGCGCCCGCCTCGCCACCGTCCTCCCCAGCCCCCGGCTCACTACCTGCGGCTGCGACTGGTTCCCCGGCGCCCCGACGCTCCTCGGCGGGACGCTGCCGGCGGCCGGGAGCCCCTGCGACATGCCGGGCGCTCGTCGGCCCCGCCGCCCAGCCGCGCAGCCTTGCGGGAGGAGCGGCCGCGCGGCCCGCCGCGCCCTGCACGCGGGGCGCTGCCTACCCGCGCTCTCCCGCCCCCCGCATCCCCGCCCGCACCTGCCGGCCCCGCCCAGCCCCGCCCCGCCCCTCAGGCTTCCCGCTCGCCCCGCTCTAGCAGCTTCTGCGCGCCGCCCGGGCTTCCCCACCCCCGTCCCGGCCGCGGTCCTTCCCGTCCCCGAGTCTGCCCGCCCCCTCCGGCTCCCATCCCGCCTCGTTTCCTCCTCTGGGGCCGCACCTCGGGGTCCCAAATCCCACCCCCGCCGCCCCTCCCCCGCGCTTCATGGAAGTCACGTGGCGGCCCGAAACCCCGAGGGAAGGCGAAGCCCACCCACAGGAGACGGCGCGGGGCGGGCGAGGCGCAGCCTGTGTGGGGTCCCTCGGCTGCTCTCAGGGAATCGGGGTGAGAAACACACGTGGGTGGTTTGGGGTTGGTGGGTGGTTTTCTCCCGGTCCCATCGCGGCATCTTCCTGCGCATCGGCCCCGCCTCCCCCGGCGCCAGGGTCCCGGTCTTGGGGGACTTTCTCCGTGGCGATCGGTCACGCGGGCGCGCGCCGCTCTCACTCCTTCCGCCGCCCTGGTCTCCCCGCGCCCGGGGGGCTCCGGCTCTCCCGAGCCCACCGCGCGCCCCGAGAGCCAGGGGCGCCCCAGGGCCTTTCTGCGGAGCCCTCACTCCTCTGGTCCGCCGGGCTGCGGGGCGGCCCCGAGGATGACGTCCCCCTCGGTGCGGGGTGGGGAGGAGGCTGCCCTGAGAGCGAAGCGGTCCCGGTGGACGTCACCGTGGACAGGTTTGGGGACCTGGACCTCAGACCGTTTTTCTTTTTCAAGATGAAAGTGGCAGCCGCTCTGCCTGGGGGTTAAGATGGGTGACTTCACGCCAAGCTGGGGACGGGGTAGAGACGCCGCAGGTCCCCCTCCACCTGCCTGCCCGTGGAGAGTTGCAAAGTCAGGCCGTGTTGTACAAGGTCCCAGAAAGAAAAGAAAGAAAAAAAAGAGAGCGGTTAGGGTTTGTGGTCTGCAGACTGTGAGCCCTGGGTGAGAACGATAACCCGGAACCTGTGTGGGCGGGTGGCGACCGGGACCAGGGGTCAGACGTGGCGTCTCAGGGCGGTCGCTAAGGTGTTCAGGCTCCTGGGCCGCAGCGGGCGTGGAGGCGGGCACTTCCGACTCCCAATCCAGTGCACGTGGCTCTCCGCCCGGATTCCAGCTCCTGGCAGATGCTGGGGGGTGCAGCTTGCGCGACCTTGGCGACCTGGCTGCGGCTCGGCGGGAGGGCAAAGGGAGAATCCTGTCTGTGTGCGCAGGGGCTCTGACCAAGGCGCGGAGGGTGGAGGTGCAGGGCTGGGGAGGGCGGGAGGTGGACGCAGGCCTTCACAGTGACACTGCAGACCCTACACCGTCTATTCTGCACAGCGGAGCCATCTCTACACCAGGGTATCCGCTAGAGACTTACCTTCTCATCTCCCTTGGATCCTTGTCTTCACTGGGCATCACTCGTGGTCGCCCGGAGTGATGCCCAGTGCGTCCCACACAGGCACACACAGTGTGCGCAGGACTCATGGCAGTAGGACAACTGACAGCCCTCATTCTTGCAAACGGAAAAGGACTCTAACAAGCCGTCAATGTTCAGAAGTGTTTTCCTTCCCCAGTGTTTAGGTTTATGAGGGAAAGGGGTAAAAACAGTGGATATTAGGTGCAGTCCCACGCTTCATTCCGGTAGTCGCCACTCTTCTGTTCTCACTGAGCCTCTAAACGTTCCTAGGCCGTTGGGGGCTATAGCTTCCACGGAGCCTGGGACCATGCCCAGCACACAAGGACTCCTCATATGACATAGGCCCACTGTCCTAATCATTCAAAGGTCCCTTCAACTCTCTTTCAAGGAGGAGGCTTGTTAGCATTTAAGGAACAGATCAGTTTGACCTACACCTCATACATCAGAATGAATGGATGAAATAATTAGATGTAGAAAATAAAATCAGGAAGGTAAAACAGAGTCCAATCCTACATCAAAGCCCTGGGAAAGTTCCATGGAGAGAATTGTCTGAGACAAGCTGTGACAGGAGAAATCACATTGGAAAGATTTGAGCCACAAAAAGAATGTTAAATTGCTCTAGATGGCAGTTGTGACCACAGATGTAAAAACAAACAGATGGGGGAAATGTTCCTGGTAAATCTGATAAAGGGTTAAAAACTCTAGTATATGCACAGTCCATGAAAAGGAACAAAAAAGTACTGAGATAACCTCCCAAAAGTAAACTGCACAAGTGGCATGAACTGGCATTTCCCAACAGAAGAAATAAGGAAAGTAGATATAAAAATGTATTCAAATGAGAAACCTTTAAAAATATTAAATTAACAAAAATCAAGGTTGTATCAAATGCCAGTGACAGTGGTGAAATTAGAACTGTCATATTTCACTGGCATCATTATAAATTGGTACAAACCAACTGGAAAACAATTTTGTTGTATTTTTAAGAACCAGGCAAGAGTCGTCGCTTCTTACTTTGTTTTCCCTAGAAAACTTCCAGAAAACCAAGCAAGGAAGATCATCGAAAATACTAAAGAGAAAAATACTATATGCACTAAAAATTCATAACATTTGAAGAATGAACGTTTGTAAGCAGCATAAATGTCCAAGTATAGGTGAATGGTTCAATAACATGTCATAGTTATGGAATGGAATGAAATATGCATCTTTAAAATTACAAGCATTAGACAAATTTGCCACATGGAAGATTTATTTGATATGAGGTACAGTGAGAATAAAACCAGGATACAGTAAGTACAAATAGAACATGTATGTAAAAATGAATGTACAACTCTACTGTACACTTAAAAATGATTAAGATGGTAAATTTTATGTTGTGTGTTTTATACCACAATGAGAAAGCATATGTATATGAGAATAAAATTAGAAGATAATATATAAAAAATCCTAGCTTTTCTGTGGTGGTGGAGAAATTATAAATCATTACTTTTACTTGTCCTTTTTAACTTTTTGAAAAATATTTTATTGTGCTAACATCTAAAAATATTTTGTATTTACAAGCAATAATGTCTTCCTGGCACTAAGTTCATTGTCATACCAGAATGCCAACACCTCACTGACCAAGTGGGATGCTCTAATTGCAGCCTCTTTTTTCACTTTCCTGTAACATTTTCTGATTCATTTTATTCTAAGTCAGAAGGGGGAAGAAAAATGAAAAGAGATAAACAAGAACAAACATTTCAAATGTGTTTTTTTTATTTGTATTTTTTCCTTAGAACTTGGAAGAAAAATTATATTACATGATTTGGCACTTTCCTATGACTACCACGATAACCCTGGATTACATCTTTGGAGACAGGAGGGGGTGCAGGAGGTCAGTGATCAAATCCTCTGGTGATTCACTTAACCAGAAGATGGTTCTTCGTAAACACCACTTACTCAGATGCTAGAAAACCCTGTCACTCTGTCACCTTTGCTCTCTCCTTTTTAGGGAAACTGGCCTTCCCGTAAGTGCATTTTCACTGATCTTTCTCAGAAGGAGATCCTGTGGGCTTCCGGTGGGGCTAGAAAAAGGAAAGTTTAAGGCAAAGGCCCCAGCGTTGACCGGAATCAGTCATGTGTCAGGCACTGTTGTAGGCACTGGGGCACAGTAGTGGACAGAACAAAGACCTGCTTCTCGTGGAGCTCACGTTCTGGAGGAGGGAGACAGACAACCACAACGCGTAGTATTTATTTATTCTTATATATTTTTATTGATTTCAGAGAGGAAGGGAGACGGGGAGAGAGATAGAAACATCAATGATGAGACAGAATCATTGATCGGCTGCCTCCAGCACACCTTCACACTGGGGATCGAGCCTGCAACCCAGTCATATGTCCTGATTGGGAATCCAACCATGACCTCCTGGTTCATAAGTTGACGCTTAACCACTGAACCACGCAGGCCGGGCACAACGCATAGTATTTACATAGTGATGTGCTCTATGGAGAAATATGAAGCAGGGGAGGGAAATAGGGAATAGTGAGGGATGATCAAGCCAGGTTTCCTGAAGGAGGCAAAGAGGGAGTCCTGAGAATATCTGGGAGGAGTGGTCCAGGATGCAAAACAGTAAACACAAGACCCCCTTGGGAGCGTGCCTGGCCACTCCAGAAAGCGTAGGAGGCTGGAGTGGAGTGAGGAAGGGCTGGATACCAAGAGGTGATGTCAGGAAGGCAAAGAGCCAGGTCATGCAGGACCATTGGGACTGTTGACTTTTACTCCAAGTGACATTGGAAAACATTGCAGGCTTTTAAGCAGAAGTGTGACATGATCTGACTTAAGTGTTTATGGGATCACTTTGGGCCCTGTGTTAAGAATAGAAAAGGGCAACGCTGAGAGCCCTGGAAGCTGGGTCAGATTTTCCAGGAAGTCAATGAGCAAAAGCTTTAAGGCCCCTCACGTATAGCCCCCTAGCAATGCGGTCACATCATGAAAGACTAGAATAAAATTTGCAAAAATGGGATATTTTAACCACAAATGGTTAAGACCACGGTCTCTTTTTATCCCAACTTCCCTTTAGTCCCTTCATGTCTGATAGTGCTGAAGTAGCTATGGGCATTTGAGGGACCTTGGGAAGGAAGATTAATCAGAGATATCTATAATAATAAAAGTGTAATATGCTAATTAGACCGACATCCATAGCAATCATTATGCCCTTATATGTCTGTACTTGTCTGGTTGTGGCCTTAGGTTTAATTCCTAGTAGTGGAATTGCTATTCAAAAGGAATATACATATTTTCAAGGTATTTGACACATATTGAAAAATGGCCTTTCAATGAATAGTCCTGCTAGCAGAGTATGGAAATCCTACTAGCTAATTAGGGAACACAATTAGGATTACAATTTTAGGACTACAATTCGGGGTCAGAAGGATTGAACTTGTTTCTTGGGTCATTTGTTGGAATCCTGATAAAGATGGGGGAAGGGGAGCAAGAAAAGAGGAACAGATAAATATAAGATGAGGACCTGCCTAAAACAACATGTCAAGGGTTGTTTTGAGCAA